TTTGAGTCGGCTTAAATATCGTCATTTTTGGGTCTATCTACCATTTTCAGACGCTTTTATAGTTATAATATATATCTATATATGAAAATATCAATATATATATAAATCAACAGTTAAAATAGTAAGAAAATGGGACAGAAAAATGAAAGACTTACCTTAATTACTGCGGATTTTAATTTGTAGCTCACCAGTATAGCGTTTCGTACGATATACTTCTTCGCGGGAGAGCAGATGTCACTCCACGAACTCAGAGAATCAAGTAAGAAACAGATTCTAGAGGTAGAAGTGTATTTGACGCTGGCCTCGTGATATCGAAATAATATTGAGGCAAGAAGGCGTACAAAAAGCGAAGGGTAGAATAGGAATAACACGCTTGGCGCGCAAGAGATAGTCTTTTGTACAGATAAACAAGAAGTGTACAGTATAATAATTATTGTCAGAATTAAGTACAATAATAAGTGTTTATATTTCAGCAGTTGTGTTTTCTACGTAAAAGTAAATCACTGCAGTTCCAAAACTCATGTCTCATGTATTTTCCTACTTTAATTTCCTCGTTTTCCGTCCTTAAATATCTCAGGTAATAAGTTCGGTAATAGCGCGGCTACCACATCTTACACTATAAAAATGAGGAAACTAGTGGAGGTACGAATTCCGTGGGTCAGAAATCCCAGTCTCGAAAGACAGAAATGTGCAAAAGCTCAAAACGCCAGTTGATAGTGTACCTTGAAGTAATGTTCGTGATTCATACTGTTTGACCCAAACACTTCCACTAGGTCTCCAACAAAGAAACTAATGTGACACTCCTCAGATTCCTACTCCTTGTAAGACCATGAGGTGAAATAGGAATAGGAGAAAAACGCACTCGAAGGCTCAGTTGACACAGTCTACCGTTCAGAAAGTATAGAAGGATAACTGTATTCACTGCTCGATGCCAGTCAGAACCAGTAACTATGCAATTGAATGCAAATTCTGCAATACATGGGTTCACAGTCGCTGCGATAATGCTGTGCCTAGACAGTACTATGGGTTCATGCTGAGTCACCCCTGTCCGTAGTTCTGGAATGTCTATAAAAATGGCGGTATCGCTGAGACGAAAAGGAATCAGAAAAACCTAAGGCCCCACCTAAAATAAACCCACAAGTTCCCATAAGTGGACCGAACTCGCTCAACACTACAACAACGAAACAGGCAACAAGGGTGGCCGTAACCCGACCCAACACACCAACCGAACTGCCAAGTGTTACGAGCTTCCTAGCATCTCACTGAGAAGTAGGTGCTTGTTAAAAGGGAAACGACAACAGCACGCTCTCAAAATGCTACAAATCAGGGCCAGAGATTATAAATAAAATTAACCAATTTCATTTGATGTTCCAGTGTCGGAGAGTAGCTCACTGGATATTTATGGGTGGCTTTGATGAAGAACAGTGTGATAAGTACTGAGTAATTCTTGAAATGAGCAGTACCTCCGGCAAACTGTGCCGTCTCTCAAGGGTCAGAACGTCGCAAGAGGAAACCCTCTCCCTTTAAAGGCAATCTTTGACTCGGCACAACTTGCTGTAGAAATTCTCCCCACATCCCAGAGACACTCGGTTAAACTGTCCTCCCTGACCTGAATCAGGCACTACAAACTGCGGCCATTACGAGCAGCAACCAGGACATCAAAAAGAACCCACGTTAAGACCAATATGATGGTTCATGGAGTGCCTTCGCTGGTCGGTGGTATCTTAGATGAAGCTTACATGCATGGCGTGCAACGATGGTAATGACTGTCTAGTAGAATCATCCTAAAGACCACATTGGCAACTAGCATTTCTTGGCTGCCTCGTCCGTCACACCTCACGACCATTAATTCTCCACGTCTGATAGCTGTGGAATTTGGAAATCGGGAAGACGTAGCTGAGGGGCTTCAAGCTTAGTGCAGCATGAAAAACGACCTTTCTAGCCACATAAGGTGTTGCGAGAGCCGACACACAAATTACAGTTGACCAAGATCAACAAACCATGGCACAGGACACGAAGATAATGGTCTCGCTGATTGAATGCACTACACTGGCATAAACCTGCCAACACAAGAGGACTAAGCAGTTAGCTTTTATGTGTTAGCTTTCATATGTTTTATGTGCTCTTAGATGGATCTGATAATCATAATCCTCACTAAAACATGGCTTTCCAGCCAAGTGTGCCTGCATAGCATGTAAAGCTTCTGGTGCAAAAAGGTATACCAGACATGAGGAGGAGTGGTTATATATCTTAGCAGCCGGTTCGAAGTCGAAAGTTTACATGGCACCCAACCAGCCAAGGTGACAGAATCATGTTGGTGTTGTTTGAACTCAAATGGCACGAAATACTTAATTGGAGGTATTTAACGGCCCCTTCGGAGTACTAAGGCACAGAAAAATAGACTGACAGAGGCAATACAGAAACTTATACTTCTTAGGTTTGATCATATACTCTTAGCTGAAGCTTTGAACACTTGGTCTCTAAATCTCAGAAAACAGGGTGCGACTCCCACTGGTTAGTTCCAAAGACTTGGCACAGCTATAAGAAGTTATGGGCTGACTGAACATGTATGTGGCGCCACCAGGTTAATTAAAGATGGAGAATCCTCAAATTTGTACTAATTTTCAACAAATGATCAGCTCCTGGTCACGTCCATACACCAGTAGGAAGTAGAAACCATGGCACAGTCTTGTTTAACATGGTCATTAACGAAACACTCAGGCAGGACTGAAACAAGCCCTATTCTTGCTACACTAGGGTGAACTACACGCACATGAGAGAGAACCTTCTACACGCCCGATGGCCACGCGGGAGACTGACAGTATATGGCCACTGATAGAAAGTGAGAGACATCATCCAGAATACTGTCCTAGACGATGTACCGCAGGCACACCACAAACCTGGAAGGAGAAGCAACTGGATTAAGCAAGGCACTGAATGCTTACAACAGGCGGATAAAAGAGCTTGGTATAAGTGGCAGGTCTATCATAAGGATTCCAACGTAGTTATTAACTGGCATTAAGAAAGAGGTGTGATGCCAAGGTTCGAATTGATAAAGGAGACTTCCAAATGAAACTAGATTCCAAAGTGCATGAAATTGTTCCGGTTGGTGACAAAAGGAAGACCTAAGAATCAGGAGTTTTTGCATTGCCACAGGTCCAAATGGCAAAGATCTTACTAGAGATGACTGAGATCTCCAACACTAACTTCACAAATCAGGTGAAGTGGGTACCGACACATTCAGAGTATTACTCAAACCTAGTCCAGCTGACGGTCTAGGGAATATTCTACTTACTCTCGACTTGATACTAAGGAAATAAAAGACTTCACACCCAGGAAAATCACCAGGATGTGACAATTTTCGCTTCATAGACTTAAAACGGTGTGCGGAATCCGTCAAATCACAGATTTGTGACCTATTCAGCCTCTCAATCGAGTCAGACCAACGTCTACTTGAATGGAAACAAACTAATCTCTCTCCAATCTTCACAGCAGGAGATAGGAAGGACCCAGCCTGGTACAGACTAGCCGCATTACAACGAATACCATCGGACCCGATGGAAGGGCTAATAAACGAGCAGATAAGGAAGCACATGGATAAGGACAAAATCCTCCAGGAATAAAGGTAGGTCCTGCTCATCCAATCTTCTCACAGCATATGAAAGCTAGGCAACCTTCTGGAGCAGAAAAATACCGGTTGAAATAATCTTTTCTGACTTCGCGACAGCCTTCGAAAGAATACCTTAGGCACTCCTATTAGCGAAGATTGAGGAAATCGGTTTCACTGAAACACTAATATCTTGTCTCACAAATTACATCGAGAATAGAAAGTTTCACAAAAAGGTAATTAGAGTGTACGCGAGTTGTTAACTCATCATCAGAAGTTTCACAGGGGACAATCTTAGGTCCAATCCTCTTCCTGATATTCACCAATGATCTGTTAGACAAAGTCAGATCAACGGTATTAATCTACGCAGATTTGGAGGTTCATTAGAAGCGAACTTTTGGCTAAGCTTCAAAATGACCTTTTATTTATCGAGAAATGGGTAGCGAAAAACGGATTGTAACTAAACCAATCAAAATCTCACGCTACATACATTCTGCCCCACTTAACGTAAAAGACTTATACCCTCAATGAAAGTCCGTTCCTATTGTCCTTTCAGAGAGCGATCTCGGCTTAATGACCACTGAAGCTTCGAAACCGATTCAAACTCCATAGGGGACGCAGCCAAGGCTAACGCATCATTTCACTTTATGCGAAGAAAACTTGGTGCAGTCACCAGAATTATCCTTAACGTTGTTTAAAACATAAGCACGCCCACACCTTGAGTTTCACAATGCACCTCAAGGTAATCCTGGAAAAACTGCGCATCAAATAGAGAACACTCAGCTTCGGGCACATTTCTTCTCATTAAAACTTGTTGCGAATCGGACTGTTCTTCCAGTCGAGGTGACCATAAGCCCTCAGTGGACAGCTGCACAAGGTGTATGTCTGGAGACCGGCTGGATGTTATTATTGCCATGTCCTCAAATCACTAACCGTATTTATCTCGCTTATTATCTCGTTTCCTCTCCTTTGTTTACATTTCGGTTCTCTCAAACAACCTTCACTACCAATTAATTAACTCATTTATTTATTTAGTTCTAAAACCTTCATCTCATTAGCATTAAATCATTCTCCTTATTATTCTTAACACTGCAACTTACTGATCTCCAACCTGGTAAAGTGACAGCTGCTGGTATCCAGAAACCATACTGCCCTGAATCAAACATTTAAATCACGGTACATTCAAACTCACAAAAAACTGCCAAATGACAAGAATTAGACAGCAGAGTCGCTAAACTATCATCTATCGGATACTTACAAACACCTGGAACCATACTGGGAGGACAAGAATCGAGCTCTAAGAAATCAACTGATTTATACTAGCTCGTGAAAAAGATATATTTTGTTTTACTGATATGTTTCACGGTATTTCTCAAGGTAAACTAGTTGAGCAATTTCAGTCTAATTGGCTGTAATATCTTTAGTGTGTTCGTAACTTTACTCTACCAACTTCAAGTCCAGGTTATCCGTTTGTCTTAATCGCCTGATTATGCTTTTTGTTGTAATTTGTCTCATCCATTAAAAGTAGGTGGACTCTACTTCCTTATGTTGTCATCGGGTCACTTTTTCACTTGTTCTGTCTCTCCCAGATAACCTCATGCTGCTTCTCACACTCTCCTAGCTCACAATGTACCTACTACTTAACCACAAACTTGCTGATGACTGAAGTTAAAACCACCTCTGTTTAATCAGTCATCAGCTCACTCTTCTGTTGTTTTCATCTCCCCAGCTTTCATTATACTCTCCTCAAGCACATGACATTCCTTCAAAAGTAACGCCATCGGTTCCAAATTTCCATGTCGATAGATCCGCTATGAGGGTGTTTCCAGTTTTCTGATCGAGTTATAAAATCTCTACCTCCTGACATTTTTCCAGTTGGTGTTTAGTTCGCTTCTCATTATTTCACTTTTGACGGTCTCTTTCCTTATTGTATGTTTTCAGCTTTTTCTTTTCTATTCTGACATTTAACCTTAGCTTTGGACAATTATTTACACTTAAACTCTGCGATTCCTGAATGTACTTGGTCTCCTAGTTCATCTTTTAAACCAATATTGCATTCGAACCTTCTACATCTCGCTTTTTTATTTGTTTATAAATTGTATTGGGTTCAAGTTTTAAACTGCTTTTTGACCTTACTATTTATAATTGCGTTTCATGGTTAGAAATCTCGAAAGTTTATAAGAGGAGGTATGACGTACATAATAAATACCATCAGGCACCGATTTTCATTCTGACTCAACTCGGTCTAACTTTGACATTTGAGTGTTGTTCACCATAAAAAGTGTCTTCTAGATTGAGAATCTAACTGTAATATCAACTCTGCGGTAATCTAGAATATCTTTTTTGAGATCTAATTTGATCAGTATCTCTTACTTTGCTTTGTTGATTGTTAGATTAATTATATCTGGCAATCAATAATCCGACAAACCACTGAATAATCTACATTTATACCACCGTATTTCTTTTCTTTCAGACGGCGGTTCACTTTTGGTGGAACCTGATTTACACTTAAGTGTAAAGATTCTAACCTGTGGACGTTAGTGCAATTCATTAACGATCTACAAACAGTCTTTTGTTATGACGTGTAATCAGCACGTCTTGATCAATAGTCAGGAGGATTTGGCAGAAGACGTCCTTAGTAATATAAAGGAGACTAATTACCGCGTGTATCGAACCAGATGGGTAGTCGTCTTTACATTCGCTTCACTGAGCTGTACAAATGCTTACTTATGGATATCCTATCTGCCTATTGCCAACTACTTTATTGAGTTTTACTCAACAAGTAACGTAGTCCTCAACCTTATTTCCCTAATTTACCCTTTGACTACTATAATACTTGGCCTCCCAACAGCTTATGGTATAGATAGTTTCGGAGTTCGTTTCATTGTACTGTGTACGGCCGTGTGTAATTTGATGTGTGGGTGCCTGCGCGTTTTGAGTAGTGCACCACAAATAAATGTTTCATCCTCTGGACGTCTGATTTTGGTAGTATTTGGACAGATAATCGCTTCCTTTGCTCAACCATTTTGCTTGTTCTGCACGACCAGTCTTGCGTGTGATTGGTTCCCAGACAATCAACGTACCATCGCAAATACTATTGCATCACTTGGAAATTCAGTAGGCATATTACTGGGCAGTGCATTTGCTCCTAACTATGTCAAGAATTCTTCCGACATCGTTAGTTTTAATTACATATCCTTGGGATTAGTTGCTCTTCAGTTCTTCCTATCGATACTTCTAGTCCGCAGAAGTAAACCAATTACACCGCCTTCGTATGTAGCGGCATTGTCTACAATCAACCTTCAAGTAAATGCAAACAGACGTTTCCTCTCGCTTCACTCTATATGCAACTTTTTGAAAGCTTATGTCCCACCCCTTAAGCTCTATGGATTTTGGATTATTACTCTTACCTTCAGTAGCTGTATCGGATACTTTACTGTTTTATCAGCTCTTCTACAACAAATTCTCTGCACGAAAGGCTACTCCAACCAGTTTTCTGGGTTTTGTGGATCAATCACAATAATTGCGGGCTTAATAGCAGCTGGTCCCGTTGCATTTTTTGTGGATAGAACGGGATTCCTGATTGAAACATTAAAGGTTTGTATTTCTTTAAAACTTCATAAGTATGTAATTTACTGAGTATCGGTGTTATGTAAAAGTATGTTTATATAATCGAACCATTCCGTAAACCGAATCTCTAGGAACAACTTGATTTAATTTAAACAATTTAACCGATCAAAGGGTGATAATAAAAATACCAAATTCGATTTAATTTTATCAAACAAAAAATATCTGATTGGTTTTAAGTAGTTTATTAAATTAACAAAACTATTTTTAGTAAATTATGCTCCAAAGGCCAGGACTTACAATAATCAAAATTCATCATTTTTTTCCGTTTTTTAATATGTCTGAAAACTTTACTAGTACCCTTTAAATTTTTGTATCTTATCGTAAAGCTCTAAATAAATACACAATTTACTAATATAAAAAAACACGTTCATACTACTTTTTTAAGTAATGGACACTATCGATTAAAATTTTATGACATTCTGGAATTTACTATAAAAGGAAAATATTGAACAAAAGGATAATAAATGAAATATATTTCTGTCATTGTACATTTAGATATATTGGTCTGCGTTAATGCCTGACAAAGTAGTTGGGTCTGTTGACTACCTCACTTTTGCCGGAACTTTTCTCAGCCATGATAGTTTCGTGCTTGGCGGAATTTTGGACATGGGTATAAATCCAATTTTCTGACTTCTAATCAGTTATGCAATAATTGGAGTTGTAGAATGGTAGTCTGTCTGCCGAAGAGTAAGTATACTGTGTAGCAATTCATCACTCGTAGTTGCAATATCTGTCATTCAAATCTAGTCGTTATTTACCCCGACGATCTCTGCCTTATAGACCTAGTTTATGCCGGCTCCTTAATCTAGAGACCGTAAACTTTCGGTGGTATTACTCATAACTTGCTATCAGCGGCCCAGTTACATTAAATCCCGACCGTAGCTGCTACCTTGACGTGGTGGTCGGGTGGTCGGGCTCGCCTATCGTGATGACCCAACCGAGCTATACTGGCTGGAACATAGGTTCCTGCAGGTCCTACCATGCCAGGTAGGTCGATTGGAAAACGATGAGACTAAAATCAGCTACTCAAGTTCTGAGGGCGAAGTCGTACCGCTGACTGCATAGGGGTGTGACAGCAGTAAGGTGTTTCCCTCGGACAACCAGCATCTTCAGCGATGTTGCCTTTTCACAAGGAAGGAAGGGTTAGAAAAGATCGACCCTAACAATGTCCCACCTCACCCTACCTCACGGATTTCCGTCTCCTTGGGTAAGGGTGCCCACTAAGGGCCTTTAACAGCGGAGCTAATATTCAAAAATCCTTTCATAAAAAGCCCGTGCGTGACCGGCCTGAAGCAATTGTCCCTTGGACTCTGTGGTCACGCTCCCAGGTCTCCAAGACCAACACTAATCGATTTTCCTTTTCAGGTCCCTCAAGAAACAACCATCCACGGCGTCGGCAGCCGGGACGTGACAACCGCCCTCATAGCACGAGACCAGATTGGTCGAAATCAAATCCTTCCTACATCCCCTAATACCTCTCTCTTCTCCACAACTAACTCTACTCACAGTTCATTTTCTCACTGCACCGCTAATGCAGACGAAGCGAGTTCACGAAACGTCATTCCTGGTCTGTTGAAACTCCGTTCTAGACTACATGTTGGAGCTTTTAATGTACGGACATTGTGTCGAATAGGGCAACAGGCTTCCTTAGCTGGGGCATTAGAATCTAGCTTAATCTATGTATGCTGTGTCTCGGAAACGCGCATATAGGATCCTAGTAAAGTCATTAACCTGATTCGACCTTGTCAAAACGAAGAAGCAGCTCGATTTACTCTTCGTGTATCTGGAAGCCCTGATGCTGCTTCCAGGGGCCTTGCTGGCGTAGACATAGTATTGAGTCGTAGAGCTGAAAAATCCTTGACTGGATCCCAGTAGATAGTCTCTTGTGCGCTGTCCGACTAAACGGGACACTAAGGACTCGGAAGGATAGGAACACTCGCCGTTGCCTCTTCCTCATATCTGCCAATGCCCCCACTGACTGCATTTTAGACGAGGTTAAAGATGAGTTTTACAGAAAGCTTTCGGACGTCCTCCAAAAAGCTAGGCGCTCTGATATAGTAATAATGGCCGGTGACTTAATGCTCAGGTAGGTAGACTAAGTGAGCAGGCAAGACACCTAGGTGGGTGTTATGGTGTCGCGGCTCAGAGAACAGACAATGGCCACCGTCTGTGTCAACTATGCTCAGATAACCGCCTATTCTTAGCATCTCTTGACCTGGCGACCTCCAAAGTCGTCTCAACGTTGGACTCAACTAGATCACATAGCCATCAGCCGCCGATGGAGGGGTTCGATAGAGGACTTTCGCTCGTTGTGGGGCACATGTTTAGATTCAGATCATGCTCTAGTGCGAGCGCGTATCAGTTTGAGGCTTACTGGACGTAGGAAAGACAGCGTAAGGAAGTCTCTTAGGGTTTTACTTATGATAATCAATCTAAGAAAATATTTCAGGAGCAACTAGAAACAGAGTTAAGCAACTATGTAAGCGATTCCCATCAAGAAGCAGGTTGGTACAAAAAGGCTGTGGAAACAGCAGTGATATCTTCTAGTAAGGTAAACCGTAAGGCTAGGATGAAGCCGTGGATCTCAATAGCATCTACCGAACTGATGGATGCTCGAAAACTCATCCCGCTTGGCTCTGAGGCCGATGAGGAGCGGGGTCAGCTTAGACGTAGGCTGACAAAAAGCCTACGCAATGGTCGTGGGTGGGTGGAGAAAGCGAGAGAGATGGAAAAGGCAGCGGCGATAGGCAACAGTAGGCAACTATTTAGACTCATCAAGGAAACTGGTATTAGGAACCGAAATGTGAGTGAGACTATTTCGGAAAAGGATGGTCTTATTATCCATTCTCAATCCAGGAGACTGGACCGATGGGCAGAACACTTTAGGGATCAGTTCAACTGGCCTCGAGCCACTCTTCGGTTACCCACGATCTTCAGTCATCCTGAATGGCAAATCGACGTAAGTCCCCTTAGTCTTTATGAAGTTGAGAAAGCGTTAGGAAATCTGAAGCGAGGGCGAGCTGCAAGTCCTGATAGACTGACCCCTGAGATATTAAAGGATGGTGGTTCAGTTTTAGCAGCTTGGTTGACTGAGATCTTAGGTAGAATCTGGGAACTGGACGTAATCCCATCCGACTGGTCTCAATCCTTGATTGTCCCAATCTATAAGAAAGGACACAAGTGTTCTTTTTACAACACGGGAATAAGTCTAACTATTATAGTATCTGAAATATTAGCCTCAGTAATACTTCGGCGCTTAACTAGAGCTCGTGAAGAGCAAACTTGAGTAAACCATGCTGATTTTCGACCTGGACGTGGTTGTATAGACCACATCTTCACACTACGACAGGTCCTGGAACACAGACACACACTTAGACGTCCGACTATAGTTGTGTTCTTGGACTTAAAAGCGGCATTTGACTCTGTTGATCGTGAGGTTCTGTGGCATTGTCTTTTATTGAAATGTGTACCAAAGAAGTACATTAACCTTATACAAGCTCTCTGCTCGAACACCACTGGTCGAGTGACAGCTTTTGGCGAACTGTCACCGTGATTCTTTACTTCAAGTAGTCTCCGTCACGGATGTCCACTCTCTCCATTCTTGTTTAATTTTATCATAGATATGCTCCAAGAAATAATCTTATCCTCGTCTGAATTTTCAGTAGCCCTTCTACCAGGTGGCTCGCTAATTGACTTAGAATATGCCGATGACATAGTCCTACTTGGTGAAGACGCTGACAAAATGCAGAGTCTTCTGACCACCCTAAGCAACAATGCAAGCATGTTCGGGATGCGGTTCTCACCCTCGAAATGCAAAATGTTGCTTCAAGATTGTGTTGCATCGGCACCTGAACTAGTGATAGGGAGTGAAGTAGTCGAGCGTGTTGACCGCTTCACTTATCTTTGGAGTCTCATCAGTGCTGATGGCTTGGTGACTAACGAAATCTCAGCACGGATACAGAAGGCTGGATTGGCTTTTTCCAACCTGCGTCACTTATGGCGTAGACGAGATATCCGTTTGCTGAATAAAGGACGAGTGTACTGTGCAGTAGTTCGCTCCGTCCTACTTTATGGCTGTGAAACATGGCCAGTTAGAGTAGAAGATATTCGTCGGTTATTGGTTTTTGATCATGGATGTCTTCGAAGCATTGCTCGTATATCCTGGGACACCGGAGTGAGCAACGCTGTTATTAGGAAACGGGTGCTAGGTAAGAATGGCAGATCAACAGATGAAGTAATGAAACTTCATCAGTTGAGGTGGTTGGGACATGTGTTGCGTATGCCTAACCACCGACTGCCTCGTCGAGCTTTGTTTTGTAGTGTAGGAATAGGTTGGAAGAAAGCTAGGGGCGGCCAAACCAAAACATGGCAGAAATCCATGAAGTCATTGACGAGTGGACTTAGTCATGTCGTTAATTGTCGACTACCTGGTTGGGGCTCGCGAGATGCTAGTAATCGATGGTTAGAGACCTTGAATGACATGGCTCAAAATTGTCTGCGATGGCGCAGGTGCATCAACTCTTTGTGTTCTCTCAAATCCTAATCTTCTGGATTCTTCAACACCTCTAGTTTTTACTTTCTAAACTTATCTCATTGAATCATACTTCGTGAATAATATTTTCTAATTCTAACCTCTCCGATTACTTCTAATACCTTTACTACCTCTTCTACTATTGGATTTGAATTGACATTTATATATCTGTGCTGATGTGGTATGGTAACATGAACTCATGTACTCACGTACAAAGTTCTACGTTGCATCTGACTGACTGACTGAGTAACATTAAATCGAATCCTCTTTTAATTTGTTAGTTTAATATCGACCCATACTTGTTATCCCTTGATCTTACTTGCTTATAATATTTTACCTCACATGTTTAGTTTTCTAATAGAGTTGCCATTATTGTCACCCTCTCCTTTTGTTTTTCCCTCGTTTTCTTAATGTAAAGTGTACAGACTTGAAGTTAGGCATATTTGTGCTATGTCATAGTTTTCCTATGAATAATAGGCTGAGCAAAAAAGCACATGCCATTGTACATGGTAATATTTTTGTGTGTAATGGCGTTCATAGTCAGTCTAACAGCCAACCGAAATAAAACCTTGCACAGTGCGTATCGAATCAAGTCTCCACACCACATCGACATGGCTGAATGGGAATTATAAGTTGAATGAAAAAGGATTCAAAATAATAGTGATGATAAAGGTGGCCATGGATAGAAAATATGGTTTGAGAAAATAAATTAATTTTCAGAGTAAAAAGTGTGGGGTAATGTGAGAGCTCAATACTTAAGAAAAGACAAAAAATAAATTGCTTCGGATCACTGAAATCAATATTGAACTATATCACTTAAGATTCCCAGCTATTGGTCAGGATTATTGTCCAGATTAAAACCAGACGGCCTTTATCAACAAACAGAGGTTGAGTTGGACTAATTCCTCATTTTGTTTTGGTCTCCTCTAGTATTTTCAATCTGTCCTTATTCCATTTAGCCTTTAACATTAAATTGCTTAGAACCTCATTCGTTTATCGTTTCGCACGATATCTGAATGTCAGTGCATAAAGCAGTATTGCATGCAAAATAACATAATGGTTTCGTAAATAGATATAAGTGAGGACTGTGTGATAGAAAACAATAATCAATTTCCAAAGGAGGTAATTCAAATAAGAACACAACCAGGATACTTTACGAATATTGAAATGTCATCACCGAGTAAGAACAATAATGTATGTTTCTGATTAGATATCATGATATCACAGTTTTTGTTTTATATTTGCTTTAATTATTAGGTCACATTTTCACTAAGCGTTTTGGGCACTGTCTGCCTTGGCATTGTATTATGGTTCCCTAACCAGCAAATTCTGATCACCATTTGTTTAATTTGGCTTGGAGCATTTGGTTTCTCTCAGTATTCTTTGTGTTTAGAACTAGCTGCAGAGGCGACTTATCCAGTTTCTGAGGCAATTACAACCAGTTTTCTTTTCATATCAACTCAAATAATTTCTCTTGTAATGTTACCGGTTCTGCAGTTTACTGCACCCTTAGCTAAAAATTCAACTAACATTATCAATACATGCGGTCCTAATGAAGATATCCGGGTAAACAGTTTACAGTAAAAATTGATTATTTGTAGTAAATTTATAAATTCTGAAAAACCACACTTAACTTGTGTTTTAGTTTATTTTTCAGATTAACCCTTATCAAAAACTTTCTTACAGACAATTTTCGTAGTCGTTCATACTTATGTTATAGTACTAATCGCTAAAAAGGAAATATTCACCCTGCCGAAATAACACTACTGAGTTTTGACAACAGCATACTAGAACGTACTCTCTGATAGTGAGTAACTGGATATGATAAGTAAATCCATGTCACAGTAAGGAATGCGAATAATTTGAGTAGTTTTACTACTGCAAAGCCAATATTTTTTGTGGATATTACACAGTATTAGTTTTCTCCTATACTACGACAATGATTAGCGTCAAGTTTCCTAATACATAATAGTAAATATTCGTTGTGAAGCAGTTTATTTTTAACGTCAAAGTATTAAGCAATTACTAAAAACAAGTGAATATTCTCAATATAATGAACAAATTGAAGTGGACAAATGAGAAGGTCACGTGTTGACGATCAAAAGTGTACTAAAGGATGAACACGTATCATTGGTGAAGAAATGGACTTATTTTTTTAAGGGGAAGGGCGGCATATGTACAGATAAGTATTTGTGTATATTATTTGGTGACAATCAAACTTTCTCTTCCACTCTTGCCTTCTTTCTCAAGTAGTCAGTTTGTAGGGTTAACAAGTATCACGTTCAGATCTCGGACACCGCCTGTCATAATTTTTTCGCTTAAGGGTCCTTTATATTACTTCAGTCTGATCTATGTATGGTTGTTTATTTAAGCACTATCTTATATGTGTTTGCAGAATATGGTACAAATTAATAAACTAAAAAAATTAGGTACTTAACAAACCAGGTGTAATGATTAAATTATATGTCTAGAGTAGTATTACAGACTAATTTTCCATCTTATTTTTCTCTTCATGATGATTGTTAGCCACAAAATTACCGACATACGTTATCACATTCATCATTGTAAATTTAGTTTTCAATACTAGATCTTGTCAGATTATTCGAACTCTTTGTTTTAATTATCAAATGCTAACTAAAGTGGTTTAAAATAACTATGCTGTCCATTGTTTGGGCAGATGAATTTAAATCATGATGTAGTGAGTAAATTAAGTTTTGTTTTATATCGTATTCCAGTTTAGCTAGTGTTGAAATATTTTTATTTCTTCTGGTTCCGAACTCATTAGTATCACAATAAAATTAATTTGAAGCTTTACTATTAAGGTGTCTTTTTAGAAGTCATCAAACATCCAAAGTGGAGATATATGGCTGTATGCGCTTCGTTTTTAACTATTGCTCATTCCAAATGTAATGGAATACAAATATTATCACCAAATATGCAACCATTTATTTCAAAACTTGCTAATTTAGATTCTGGTCATAGTTTAAGGTGACAATAAAAAGTACTGATATTATTCCTTTAGGTAACTTTTCAGTCTTTTATCTCGTAAAACAGACGTTCAAACAGTGGATAGATTTCGAAGTGATTTCAAGATCATCGTTCACAAGGAGGTATTTTCATCATGACGAAACGATTTATATTTATCTCTATCATCTTTGCTTGATTACATTTGAGATAAGTGATGTTCGGAGATGCTACTTATGTAGTTGTACTTTTTCAAACATGTTTGATTATTGAGGTATGCGGAAGATTACTACTAATCTTTCACTTCACTGTTGATTTCTTCAGGATTTCAGTGCACCACACATGGGTTTATGTGCTTTAATGGTCTTATTATCAATTATTCAACTTTTCACCTTAAAGCTACCATATAAACGACGAGAGTGTTTAAATTCTGTCGTGATCACTGTTGAATCTAATGATTCTATCAATGAGGCAAATGATGAAATTCAAGAGGATCTCTAATTATAACAAAAACCGTGTGATGTCGACTATTTCTCAAACTATTTAGAATTTTTGTTTTTAATCCTCATAGAATTTTCTCATGCTAAAAATTTGAAATTACAATTATTTATTTGTGCGCATAATATTTTATATTTATTCTCAATTATTTTTGTAACCTTCATTTTTTTATTGCTTAATTGTTTAATTACTTTTCCTCCATTTCTTTGTTTAAAAAAATACACATATATATGTATTCTTTTTCTGATTTGGAAATACAAATGACTATTCATTAATGAACATTATTATTACTATAATTACTGCGTATCACACCACATCCAAAATATTTAATTTCATTTTATTTACACTAGTGATCATTGTTTGAAATAAGGCAAACCTACGTTTACTTAATTGTTTAACAATATTTTTTTACGAAAAAATATAATTTATTTGATATGACTTCAAATTTTCGGTAGATAATATTAATTGTCGGTGTAATTTTGGTTGTTATTATAGAAAAACTTAGACATAAATCTGCATCCTGTATTACTGATGTAAATCAATGACCGAATACGGATTTATGTGCAATTGACTCTGCAACATATGTCTTCTTTATGAGTTGAAAGGCTGCCAAAACTCAAATAGGTGGAACCTGGTACATAAGATCCAAGTTCTTCAGTCACTTAAAGGTAACATTTTCTCATGAAAACTTGATAAATCATTTCCCATTACTGGTTAAACTATTTAATGATAGTGGCAAGATAGGATGTTAATTACTTTATCTCGTGTTTAAAAGCAACCATTTCGGAGATATTTATTGAATCTTCCCTGTTAATACCACTCACTGATCACTGCAATCTTTGATAAACTTGTACATTGTAAAAATAAATGTAAAAGGTTTCGTTGTGATGGATCTACAGACTACAATTAAGCTTCCTACTCTGATGGGCTAGACTCCTATTCTGAAGTCGCCAACTGTTACATTAAGCGATAAAGATTAAGGTGTTAAATAAAAAATTAGCTCACTCTATTTAAGTTCAGAGAAACCTAGACGTTTAATTACCCCCCCCCCCACCACCACACCCGAAATGTGTAGCTAGTAGTTGGGTATACGAAGCTGGCGTATGTTCATCTAACTCAGCGCACAACATGTGAGTTCAAACGGAATCATCACATAAAAGTTGTGTGTAAATAGAATACGAAGTTTTGAAATAAGATTCGTATAAATGCGTTTTGTTACTTTTTCCTACCTTATTAATCAATGAATTCATAGATTATTTGTCACAATTATTATTAAACTATATCTTAAATGTCGACAACAGGATCGAGTAATCTTTCAATATTTAATTTACTTCGGCTATCATCCGTATAAATACAAAATTATCAGTATAATTCCATTCGAAAAAAAGTTGTAACAATGAAATTCGGTCATTTCATTACCTACAATCATCTTGGTTCGTCAGATCAGACTGGCGGGAGGAGCGTTGAAACTATTAAGTTTCAATCGTGAAAATCGTTACAATATCCATAGAATACCTTCTGATCCGAACACCCATTTTCCTGGAACTATTCTTCTAAATCTTGAAAAAAGTTCATGTAAAGCAAATATTTTCATTAGTTTCGAATAAATTTAACACCGTCATGTAACTTTTTCAAACTAAACTCTAAAAATACTTTGCGTATTTGAATTACAATCCTTTCCAATTGTTTTACATATATCAAGCACGTACCTGTGTATTTTAGGCGGAAGAGGTAAACTGAATACAGACTATTAATTTAAGAAATTTTCTGAAGCTATCATAAAAACTGAAAGTCACTAGTGTGAATTTAAACAATCCAATTAGATAACTATCTAGTTTTCTGCTTAATTTCTTGCTGAGATTTATTATTTTTGGCGATTAGACGTTTTTTAAATAAATTTTAAATTTAGGCAAATTCTTATTATTGATAGATTCTAAACATAAGTTTCCAAAGAGGTAACTTACTCAATATCACTTGGGTAAGGTTTATGATTATTCTGTAACTATTTTATTTGAAAAATCTCTTAATTTGTGAAAAAATCATAAGGGACAGCACCCCTTAGCATGACTTAAATGGAAACATTTCATTACACCCAAACATTTATTTCACCGAAATTCTCAAATTTGATTCATCTCATTTTTTCACTACATTATCCATTTTTAACAGGATATTATTCTCATTTACAGTGGCCTTTATTTGCTAAATCGGAAAAACTCAAGCCATACAATTTTTTTGCATTTTGAACTATGATCATGGTTGATGATCAACAAAATGTTGTAGTGCAAATCCTTCCTCTTGCTTACGTAAGTAACTTACACAAATTTCCAAAATATTTTATTATAACAAGTTAAATTCAATTATCAACCATAGAATGATAAATATATCGAGATAGATTAGAACAGTGTGATTATTATAATCACGTTTCGCTAACATTTCTTTTCAGAGTGCTTTCTTTTGTTTCAAACTAACTCATTAAATCTAACAAAAAATTCATAGGCACCAGCTTGTTTTTGAGTGCATTCGCTTTACTTTTCTGTTTATGATATATTTAATATATTTCCAATGTCGGTTTTATCCACAATCTGTCATATACATATGAAAATATGAGAATATCGTATCTCAGTAACATTTATACATTTCATGTAATAATGATTGGATGTTCTTTCGCATGCTATTTGTAGTATAATCATATCAGTTGCTTTGTGCCTGCGAAAAAAATAGATGATGTTTACTGTTAGACTATTGCTAGACATATTGTAACTACTAGGGAATATTACTATTTCTTAAGAAAGACCTATGTTTATCAATTATTGGATCATCTTACTTTTTTATTTAGAGATATACAAACGGGATGATGAAATGTGATTCCTTTCTCATTCGCGTTTTATCGTTATCCTTAAAATTATGGTTAAATATACAGTATATCCAATCCTAATATGATTATTGATTTCTTCAGTCTATTGTGAAATAAAACCTACTCTAGAAAACACTTATTCCAGGTCCTTGTTGTTTTAATTACTTACTAAAATAGCGTCCGCAATGCCATAATTGATTTAGCCCAAGGTATGGTCATGATAGTTCATCGAAAAAGTTCTTATGTACTAGTATCCCTATTTTGTAGATTTTCTCAGTTCATAAAAATATCCGAAGTTGCATATCTATCTAGCGATATTGTATTGATTATTAGCTTTTTTTCTAAATCACACAGAAACGCTATAACCTGGAATCACCAGACCATTTAAGCCTGTTATAAATAAAGGGGTTTTTAATTTAATCAAACTTATGTGATATGTACAGACTGAATATTACAAAATGCTCGTATTAAGCAGTAAGCTGGCAGCTTGTTGATCAACATGAATATTACTAAAGAATACAGTAACCGAGTATAATTTAGTTTCTCAGTCATTTAATCGGCATGATGTTCGGATTATGTTATGACGAAAATTTTTATCGAAATAGTTAATTTAAAAGTATAAGCCTCCTATTCGTTAAACATTTAGAGTGGATATTGTAATAGAAAAAGGAGAAACAAACTATCTAATATATTCTTCAGTTTTCCATTATTATGTTTTGAAATTCAGAAAAGTTGACCTTAAATTTAAAATATCACTTCCGCATAATCTGGATTACACTTCTATTTCTTAAATTGGTACACAAAACTACAAGCAATTTTCTCAGTAACGAATGTTCATATTGATGATGAAAACAATAAATGTTCCGGATAAGGCAGCGTATATAGGCGAACAATATTATTTTCACTTAAATTTTTGTTAGGCTTTACTCGAATATGTATGAAAATATTAAACCAATCAAGGCAATCTATGAATCAATAAAATAGATTACACAACTATACATAAAGGGTAGAAAGTGCAAATTGATGGCAAGAAGAGAGGTGTAATAGTAGTAGTAGTATAAGAATAATAATATAAATAATGTTCTGTTGAATAGTTCAACATTGGAAGTAAATTGATTTTAAAATAATAACCACAATGCATTGCTAGAATTATGTAATAAGAATCAAAAAATTAGAGTTATATCCTCCCAAGAAAGGGGCAAGGAAGTCACAGATCTCTTGTGAACACAAACTAGGGTAAAACGTTCGGACTCCTAGAGCTTCTGTTGTGTTCGAATCCCGTTAGGAATTGACGAAGGTGTGCAATAAATCAATCTGTAAGATTCGGTTTTATTTACTGCGTGACCACTGTCAATCAGATGTAACAAGATAAAGCTGCGCATTGCCACTATCTGGCCCTTTCCAAACCAAACTGGGAGGCGCTTACTCATTCGTTGCTAATTTGCCTGGTAGTACACTCAATACAGTTACCTTCTCAGAAGAAGATTAATTTTCAGACTGAACGTTGAGCAGGCCAACTCAAGTAGATATCGCCGGTCAACACATTCCTGTTGAATTGTAGTTCTGAGAATATAAGTTTCTCACGAGTAGTCAATATCTACTTATCTTTTACCGCATACATGTTCCACTATCAAAAACATTCCCGATCTCCGTTAGTTCGTTGTTAATAAACTTCGACTCGTTGTTTACAGTTTAATCTGATAAAGTCTTTTTTGCCCTGCTTGTGATCTCCTTTGTAGTGAGAGAGTGTAAAACTAAGGAAGTTTGTGTACTGACTAGGAATAAATGTTTCGTTGGTGTACGCAGTTCCAAAAATATTTTGTGCTTACATTTTTAAGTCATTTTATTTCCAAAGTTGAACTATTCAACAGAACATTATATATATTATTATTCTTATACTACTACTATTAACACGAAGGACAGCTGACAGACTCTTTCGAGGTGAAGACCGGTGTCAGGCAAGGTTGCTTATCCTCACTCTTTCTCTTTCTCCTGGTCATCGACTGGATTATGAAGACGTAAACAAATGGAGGCAAGCACGGTATCAACTGGACAGTTAGGACGCAGCTGGACGATCTGGACTTTGCAGATGGCCTGGCTCTTCTATCGCACAAGCAACAACAAATGCAAGAGAAGACGACCAGTGTAACAGCAGCCTCTGCAGCAGTAGGTCTCAACATTCATAAAGGAAAAAGCAAAATTTAGCGATGCAACACAACATGCACCAACCAAATCACTCTTGATGGAGATGCCTTGGAGGACGTTAACACCTTTACATATCTTGGCAGCATCATCGACAACCAAGGTGGATCCGATGCAGATGTGAGGGCGCGGATTGGCAAAGCGAGGGCTGCATTTCTACAGTTGAAAAATATCTGGAACTCCAAACAACTTTCAACCAAAACCAAAATCAGGATTTTCAATACAAATGTGAAGACAGTTCTACTGTATGGAGCGGAAACTTGGAGAACTACGAAAGCCATCATCCAGAAGATACAAGTGTTTATTAACAGCTGTCTACGCAAAATACTTCGTATTCGTTGGCCAGACACTATCAGCAACAACGAACTGTGGGAGAGAACAAACTAGATTCCAGTGGATGAGGAAATCAGGAAGAAGCTGTGGAAGTGGATAGGACACACATTGCGGAAAGCACCTAACTGGGTCACGAGACAAGCCCTCACATGGAACTCCCAAGGCAAAAGGAAAAGAGGAAGGCCAAGGAATGCATCACGCCGAGAAATAGATAAAGATATGAGAGGAATGAACGAAAATTGGACAGAACTGGAGAGGGAAGCCCGGGACAGAGTTGGTTGGAGAAAACTGGTGGGCGACAGGACTAAGTAAGTAAGTATCTCGCCTACGCCATAAGTGACTCAAGTTGCTGAGATTTCGTCAGCCACCAGACCATCAGCACTGATGAGGCTTCCACTATGAATAAAGCAGTTAACACACTCAACCGCTTCACTCCCTATCACTAGTTCAGGTGCCGACACAAACCAGTCTTGAAGCAACATTTTTATTTCGCGTGGGAAAACCGCATCCCGAACATGCTTGGATTGTTGCCTAGGGTGATGATAAGACTATGCTTACGCGGACTCGACTTATTGGAAATAAGAAGGATACGGTAAGGAGACCAATTAGAGTCCTACTTAACGGTAACAAATTCAAGAGCCTATTTTGAGAGCATGTTGAAAACGTTAAACAGCTATGTAGGTGATGCCCACTCTGAGACAGTTTTGAATAATATCCAAAACTCTGTGGAAACAGCAATGATATCTGCTACTAAGGTAACACTTGTATCTTCTGGATGATGGCTTTCGTAGTTCTCCAAGTTTCCGCTCCATACAGTAGAACTGTCTTCACATTTGTATTGAAAATCCTGATTTTGGTTTTGGTTGAAAGTTGTTTGGAGTTCCAGATATTTTTCAACTGTAGAAATGCAGCCCTCGCTTTGCCAATCCGCGCCCTCACATCTGCATCGGATCCACCTTGGTTGTCGATGATGCTGCCAAGATATGTAAAGGTGTTAACGTCCTCCAAGGCATCTCCATCAAGAGTGATTTGGTTGGTGCATGTTGTGTTGCATCGCTAAATTTTGCTTTTTCCTTTATGAATGTTGAGACCTACTGCTGCAGAGGCTGCTGTTACACTGGTCGTCTTCTCTTGCATTTGTTGTTGCTTGTGCGATAGAAGAGCCAGGCCATCTGCGAAGTCCAGATCGTCCAGCTGCGTCCTAGCTGTCCATTAAATACGTGCTTCCCTCCATTTGTTTACGTCTTCATAATCCAGTCGATGACCAGGAGAAAGAGAAAGAGTGAGGGTAAGCAACCTTGCCTGACACCGGTCTTCACCTCGAAAGAGTCTGTCAGCTGACCTCCGTGCACGATTTTGCAGTTGAATCCATCATAAGAATTCCGTACGATGTTAACTATCTTCTCAGCCACACCGTCGTATCGAAGAAGCCTCCACAGTGTTTTCCTATCCACGCTATCGAATGCTTTCTCGTAGTCGATGAAGTTGATGTAGAGTGGTGAGTTCCATTTAATTGATTGTTCCACAATGATCCGTAATGTAGCAATTTGGTCAGTACACGATCGATCCTTACGAAATCAAGCCTGATGATCTCAAAGTTGGGCATCTACGAAGTCCTTCATTCTGTTTAACAATACCCTGTTGAAGACTTTGCCTGGTATTGAAAGAAGAGTGATGCCTCTGTAGTGCTCACACTTGCTGAGATCGCCTTTCTTCGGTATTTTGATCAGGTATCCTTCTTTCCAATCTGATGGTACTTGTTCCTCATCCCAAATCTTCTTGAAGAGGATGTGAAATATTTCCGCAGTTGCTTCTACATCTGCTTTCATTGCCTCTGCTGGAATGTTGTCTGGTCCTGCTGCTTTGCCGTTCTTAATTTGTCTGATGGCTATACTGATCTCCTCAATCGTAGGTGCGCCAATATTAATTGGGAGATCCGTGGATGCTGCTTCGGTGTTGGGTGTGTTCAGTGGAGCTGGTCGATTCAAGAGTTCCTGAAAGTGCTCTACCCACCTATTTCGCTGTTCTTCAATGTTGCTGATTACTTTGCCTTCCTTACTTTTCACTGGTCGTTCTGGTTTGCGATAGTTTCCGGAGAGCTTCTTTGTTGTTTCGTACAATTGTCTCATGTTTCCTTCTCTTGCAGCCTTTTTCGCCGTCATTGCTAGATCTTCCACATATTTGCGTTTGTCGGCTTTGATGCTCTTCTTCACTTACCTGCTTGCTTCTGTGTATGCAGCTTGTGCCTTAACCTTCTCTGCTCTTGTTCGGCTGACATTGATTTCTGCCTTCTTGTTCCTACTTTCTTCACTTTTGCAAGAGTATCAACAGAGATCCATTCCTTGTGATGGTACTTCTTGTGACCCAGAACTTCGTGATATGTTGAAGTGATTGCCTCCTTAATCCCTTTCCAATTGTTCTCTATTG